TATATATATATATATATATATATATATAAAGATAAATCAACAAAAACAAGAAACTAAATAATTGACTAAATTCCATGTCTTATCACTTGTGTTTATGTACTTAAGTTATACTCTTTATGTCATTAACAGTATTAGTTAAGCTTGGAGAAATTATTGGGATTATAGCTAAAAATATCATTAGAAGTGAGGGTAACAAATTGATGAAACAATTAATTCTAATCATTGCAAGAAAGGACAGAAGAATAGTATATTATATTAGCCATATTTATAAATAGGTTGGTTTTTAATTTTGATCTACGTAAGTTGCTTTGATCAAAGTTAAGAATCCCTGTTTTTTTTTTGTTGTATGATTTAGTTAACTATAAGTTCTAGTATGCCACAAACTATGTACATACCACTTAGCTGCATGCGGTTCTTGATAAGGTCAAGAGGCTGAACAAATAAAGTGGCTCCCATCCTATAATGCATTACATATAAGAATATACAAAAGTGTATTATTACATACAGACTGTACACAAATACACACAGTCATTATGTTTGTAAGATGCAAATGAAATCAAATCATATGATGATGTAAAAAAATATTTTTCAAAAGGTATCATGGGCACATAACATCTCATTAGAAAATATAAGTTAGGCTAAGAAAGTGAAATCTACTTATTTACTAATGACATCATACTGTGCCATATTTTCATACCATAATATACCATTGATACGTTGTTTAGGCAGAGTATTCATAATAATATGAAAGTCCCATTTTTCATATATGTTTCAATTTTAGTATTCCCTATATTTATTACATAAGATCATGTTTTAACATAAAATAAGAAAGATCTTCAGACAAGGTTATATATGAAAAACATGCTTAACAATACACCGAGTGATTTTTAATCCCAGTTATGGTTGATATTTTACACAGAAAACCATAAAGCATACTACAAGACACTCATCAAATGAAACAATGTAAGGGCATAATTTTTTTTTGATGTACTAGCTAGACTAATAGGCATGAGAAATGTACCAACCTGAAATTAAATTCTACTTGTGCAAATAGTACAATCTTTGAACAAATCATTCAGTTTAGAAGCACAAAAAAAATCAAAACAACTACGCAGTGGTTCAATATTCAGTCATATGTAAGAAAAAGCTTGCAGAATTCCAAGTGGCTATTATCTCCTTTAATAAACTTCTCAGTAAAAAAAAATAATAATCTTGTAGATTATAAAAGGTTATAAATACATAAAGAAATAACCGGATATTGAAATTTACAAGTCAGTACTGAGTCACTCGTGTTTGTATATCAGGCTTATGATGGATTAGCCTATCACAGATAAATAGGCCACCAAAGTTACAAAACTTTCAATTACAGTACATATATAACAATTTGATAGAAAAGTAACAATGGGTAGTAGTGTAAATAAACTTTAATAATTGATTATATAATTCGAATAACATGCATGCAGAACCATACTAGCTTCAGGCTAGTACTTGTGAAATTCATGGTAGCCAAAGCTCATATATTTGTAGTCCCAGACATCAGCCTAGTGGATTATTATACTCCTGTGATGATACCACTTAAGGTACTTTTCATTTTGTCATAAGTTTACTTTGCAATAATGTTATCTCCAGTTGTTATGTGGTAAAACTAGGTGTTTACAAGTTTTTAAAGAAAGCTACTATGATTATATGAATTACATGTCTTATAATGATGAAAAGCTACTACTCATAAGTTACATATACCAATACTTTAATATTTTCTTACTTCATATCTCAAGTTCGACATCTTTATAAGTACTTAACTGATTATTTCATTTTGCATGTTTTGTGTATAAATTTCCACCACTTACCAGGAAAAATCAACCAAACTAAAAATGGGTATTTCACCTTTCTTCATTGATTAAACATTTTTCTGGAATTGTCCTTCACCCTGGAACGTTTTAACTACTTAATTTATTTTTATTTCACTTTATAGTATATTATGCATAATAATTTCAATTATAATCAGTTTAAAACGATTTTTTAATCAATGTTTTATGAAACATCATTTTTATTTCTTGCTAATTTTTAAAACTTTACACAATTTCTCTTACTGGACTCATGACATATGAGTCATATGTTCACCTCCAAAAGTTTTTCATTTAAACTTCAAACATTTTATCACCACTCATCCATCTACTGATTTTTCTTCTTTCAGTTATAGTTGAAATTTAATTGTTAATCGTTCCAGTTAACGTTTGAGTAATATATTATTCTATCCCCATTCATTTTTCTCATATATATCCTACAAATCTTTATTATGAATGAGAGATTTATATAGTGCGTCCTTGAGACTTAGGTCGTTGTGAAGCGTAAATCCTTGTAACTTACACTGTTAGTGTTAGTGTATTACATACATTGTTAACCTATAGGCTACACAGTTTGTAATTGTATAATTTTAAGTATTTCCCTTGAGTTACCTAATACATTCAGTCAGCTAAATTATATACATGTTATTATATAAAATTATCGAAACATATTCATACCCTGCCGTTCCTCCGAAAAGGAAACGGAGTGATTTGGGAATTTGCGCCGGTTGCTTCGAGGGCGAATTGGAAGCAGACATTTTCCTTGATTTTAAATCTCGACTCAGTATGTCTTCGGCTAGCTAGAAATTGTATATTCGATAACCATGTGCCCTGAGAGGAGATTATATCCCAGAGTTCCGTGTATATTCCTATTATATATAAAACCTCTTGCACGTGGCTCTCGTTATCTCGTGTGACCTTGTTTAAGGTGAGTGTGAGTTACAAAGAAATCTTAACTTTTTATTCTAATCGATTACAAAATGTTTTAATTCAACTGCACGTTTCTTAATTTATTGTTACAAAATGTAAAATATAAACTTGTATTATCGCTGCTATTACTACTGCTGCAAGTGTATCTTAGAAAATAAAAGTAACAAAGAAAAGATATAGTAACGCTCAAAGTCAAACGTCAGTAAGTAGGTAACTTAAATTTAAAACATACTCGGGATAAATGTAGCTAATTTTGTTTTACTATTATTAATATTATTGTGTCAATCCATGCTTGGTCGGTAGTCAACGGTTCGCAAAGATCAGAACTGTACTTAGTTTGCTTCAGGGCTTCGGTTTACTTTTATTCAGAAATATCAGGACCCGAGATCCATAACTTGTTTTGAATTTTTACTAACGTAAAGTCGGAACCCAGTTTTCTATACGTCTCGGTGCATGTAAAGTGGTATTTGCCTGACATTGTCAACTACGTTAACTCTTCCCCCCCCCCCTCTCGCCATTCTCAACGTAAGAGTAGCTACAAAATCTCAAAATTCCCAACCCTTGCACGTTTATCCAGTACTCTTTATTAGCCGCAGCATAGTGGCTCATAGTCATAGAAATATTAGAATGTCTCCGAGTTTTTCAAGTACAAACTTTTAACTATTAGCTCCATCATCTCTTGACTGATTTTGTGTCTAATTACAGTTTTGTATTCGGGAAGTCAAACCCTTTCCATTGATATATTTGACCACGTCTAAAGTCATGTAAATTAATTTACTCTAATCCTGCCTAAAAGAATTTCAATTTGAGGGTAGGTTTGTAAAGATTCTGGTGAGTAATAAAATCTTATCGGGTATACGCGCACTTCACGCGTCGTATTTGTGACGCACACAAATGTAGCTAACACAAAGGACTTGCTCCAATCCTGCCTAAAATAATTTAAAGCGTCGCGGCTATTGAGGATTCCATTTTGTTTTTTTCCGAATTAAGCACCATTACTAAAATTAAGACTAATTATGTAGTGTACTCCCTAAAATTGCAGTGCATTTTACTAAATATTTAATTTTTCTAAATTGTTATAAATGTTAAGATTTAAGTTTTATTTTAACAATAACCTTGGTATTTTGAATGTAGACATCATATAAAGTTTGCTCATTTTATTTTAAAATCTTTCTAGTTTTTGACCTTGAAACATGGTAAGGTCATAGCCTAGAAGTTAGTTTTTTATACTTATAGGATGCTTTTGGAATATTTATTAACATTTAATACAACTAAATATTAAGTAGTCTATGTGTTGTAATAGGTTTTAAACATATACAAAGTGCAGTTGTATGAATTACATTTAAGGTTTAATGAAAAAAAAGTAATTTATGGATAGTATAGAAAATTGTTTGTGATTGTAAAAATGTACGGAAAAATGTCCGTTTCTTTTACAGAAGAATCTAAGGAGCATTTAAAAAAAAAATAGTTATGTAGGACTAATAATAATTACTTATGATCTGATCTGCAGATATTAATTGGTTTGTACGAAGGTAGTAAAATATAAAACAAACTTCAGAAAAAGTTGGTGCATTTATGTTGTGACACTAACAGCCTAATTATGGATAAATTATTTTTATCAGTGAATCTTCTTTTGGAATGAAAATTAATCTGTTCAATTCACCAGTGAGATGGCTTAACCTTCTCCTTTTGTTTAACCCACTTGTAATATGAATATTGTCAGTAGTTTTCAATTTTAATCTCGGGATCAAATTTGAGAGAAAGAGTAAATACTATTGTGTTTTGAATAACATTAATCATAACAAGGAAACAATTTGTCTGTCATGGTTGTACACCAACTCCTGAGAAAAAAGTTGAAACTTAACACACCCTTTATTTTTCAGGAAATATTTTACTGTTAATTGCAACTCATTCCATAAATCAATCACCCCCTTAAAACTAAACTGCCTTAATTGGAGACAAGATTGTTTTTTTTTTCTATATTTTAAACTTGTCTACTTATTCTCTTGTCAGCACAAAGAAATCAGAGGTATTTAACCTGTTTATCCCATGAATGGTCTAGTAAACTTCAATAAGATTATCTCTTGTCCTTCTTTTCTCAAAGTAAAATGAGATTTTATTGAACAAAATTTGTGAAAGCTTACCATGTAGTTAAGATCAATAAAGGGATCATTGATGGCTACAACTTCAACTCCCTTGTCCAAACAGGAGCGGAGTACCAGACGACCAATACGTCCAAACCTTTAAAGTTTATGGGGGGAAAAAAATCTCAATGTTACTAAATTAAATAACAATCAAAGAATTGGCAAGATACAAAGATGTTAGTTAATAATACAAATAATTTAAAAACAAATTTTCCACATTCAGAAAATGTCACTAGGTTATTGCATGTTGCAGACAGATTTTTTATCAGAGCAAAATATAAAATAAAAATTCAGCCTTACCCATTAATTCCAACTTTTGCCATTGTTTTGTGTGGTAGGCTGTGAAACTACTGAGGAGGAAGTCCCTGAAAATATAAAAGTATAGCTTGAAATATGGTATTGTTGAAAATTCATTGTAATAATTAACATGTCTTAAGATTTAAAAGAAATATAACCAATCAACAGGTACTACAAATTCTGTATATTAAAGGATACTGGTAAAAGTTGCTCAAATTATGTTAAATATACCGATTTCATGTTAAAAAGAGGAAATTACAAATCACTACTTAGGTCTCATTTAAAATACAGTTTTTGCCTTCATATCTATGAAAGGATATTGACTTAATTAGAAAAAATTCAAAGAATGGCCACTAGAATAATACTGGGGATAGAAGGGTCATTTTATGAAGAATACAATAAGCCACGAGGCATCTTAAAAAAATAAATATTGTTGGATAGAACATTATTGCCCTTGAGATAAGATTGACATAATAAGCTGTCTAATTAATCCTTTATGAGAGTATTTAGAGACGGTGTATGTAGAAAACTTAACCATTTGTCACAGTTGGAAAACTTTTAAAAAAATTATTGCTTTCACATAGTTTCTGGTATTTTAAACAGCATTATCATCTAAAAATTCAAATGTAAATTAGGTAATCCAAGTTAAAGTATTACAGGCTATTAATGTATTTAAATGCAACAATATGTTAGATAGTCTTGTAGTGTTGATGCTTAAGTAAACTCAAATCCAAATTTGCTACACTTATTTAGTTAATAAATTTAAGTTATTTTCATAATGAGTGTGATCTGACTCTTAAACTTCTCATTTGTTTTAACATCTGTTTGCATGGCCACAAATTTTAAATTTCCCCCTTTTTTAGACTTGATGAATTTTGGACACTTATTTTGACAGGTATACATGTTCAAATACGACTCCACACACGGTCGCTACAAAGGAGAGATCAAAGCAGAGGAAGGTGTGTTAATTGTAGGTGGACATAAAATTCAAGTTTTCCAAGAGTAAGTAAAGTCTTGAATATTTATTCAGTAATTGCAATGTTTAACTTTTGACCATACAGATTATAATCAGTTGACTTAATTTGCTTTCAGTTCATTAAACTGCATAAAACTATCTAAATAACCTAAAGCATTACTCAGTCTATAAATTTATAACGGAAGAGTTACAATGAACTTCTGCAATGTATCATTCCATATAACTAGAAAATGTCCTTGTAATTGTAATAAAAATATGTAGTTTTTGTTATTTACAAAAATAACTTTGCTTCCAAACCAAAACTGCATGAGAAATAAGTAGGAAGTATATTTGGTATGGCCGGCTTATAATGTAAGTGGGAAGTATATTTGGTATGGCCGGCTTGTAACGTAAGTGGGAAGTATATTTGGTATGGCCGGCTTGTAACGTAAGTGGGAAGTATATTTGGTATGGCCGGCTTGTAACGTAAGTGGGAAGTATATTTGGTATGGCCGGCTTGTAACGTAAGTGGGAAGTATATTTGGTATGGCCGGCTTGTAACGTAAGTGGGAAGTATATTTGGTATGGCCGGCTTGTAACGTAAGTGGGAAGTTCAGTTTTTAACATATTGCCATCTTAATATAGAAAGTTTTAGGTACAGGAACTTTTTGAAAGTAGAAGAAAAATTAATTTACTTCATTTGTTTTTTTCTTCTAAAGGATGAAACCCAATGCTATTCCGTGGGGAAAAGCTGGTGCTGATTATGTTGTGGAATCAACTGGTGTTTTTACAACAATTGAAAAGGCAAAGCCTCACATTGAAGGTGGAGCTAAGAAAGTTATTATCTCTGCTCCCTCAGCTGATGCCCCTATGTTTGT